AGAGCGAAAAGCACTGAATGTGTTTGTTAAATTAGGCAAAAAACTGGTTTGTTATTTCTGTTACTTTGGCGGGCTACCAATTCCTTGTATTCTTGCGCATCTGAACTGTGGCGAGAAACATCACCGACGCGGGATTAGGCCTGAACACCCACATTGTTCTTCCCCCTGCCCCCTCCCCCACTTCCCTCCGCCCCTGGATCCGCCTATGAATCTAGTACTATTTTTAAGCTCACTGGACTATTGGCATAGGGTCAGGTGAAGAGTTGAACAATCTTTGCATCATGTATAATTTGAAAATACATTCTCTCTTGAAACTGTTCAGGTCTGAACGTGCTTTGATTTAGTTTTGTGTGTGTATTAATCAAATACTCTTCATCCTGTCGTCCCCTGTCCCGCGCTCTCCGCACCGTCCTCCCTTCCCTCGCCTCTTTTATCAGTGATTTTAGTAATGTTTGTCTTTATTTCATAGAAAAAATTGTTATTTTTTAGGGTGGAAAAGTGAAAACATCGATCCCGAAAGAACTGCTCTTTGATAGCATTGACAGTGAGCAAGCACCTGACTGCATTGCCTATGGGAAATGCCTACCGAAAGTTACCGTACTGGGTACTGTTGGAGAAAATTTAAAGGTTAGCTGAACACTTTTGTGATGTGATATAGCTTTTGCCAAATTCAAATTTTTTTTTTTGGTTTTTCTGGTTCAGACTTTTTTTAGGATTTTTTGTGTTGTCGTGCTCAGCTGTGATCTTTGTGGTACATTTGTTTTTTATCAATGAGGCAAAGCGGAGGGAAGGGGCTAAGAGGGCCCTGTACGAGATCACTTAAAGTTTAGGGGCTAAAAATTCGATCTTTTATAGAACAGTCTGAAATTTGAGCAATTTGAAATTCAAATTTTTTGGACTTAATTTTATTGCGATTCTGTATAGTTGGCTGTGTACTTCTATAAAAGAAAATAAAATCCGTTGGGCAAGGTATATTTGCTTTCAGGGGGTTGATGAGTATCGTATTTCGGTGAGTTGGGGGGCGGGGGAAGAGGGGGGGGGGCGTGTTGGATG